CTCTGGTCTGTGGATGAAGAACGTTGATTTAGATTTACACATATGGATGGATATGGCACAGGATTATGAATGTTCAGTTAGGGGAAAGGTCAAGACAAGTATGGCTAGGTGTGGAGGCAGACCCGCTGGCTCAGTCGGATGATCTGCTGGCAAAAGCATACAACCGACCCTCAGAGGAAGGAGTAGCAAAGCCATCTTCAAAATGGTTCATCTCAAAGAATGCACTTGTCTCAGGGCTACTTGGTATGAAGCAAAAGGACTCAGATTCAGATTCTCCACCTCCAAAGGCTCGACGAAAGAGGATTGTACGGAAGAAGGTGGCTGCATCTGCCTCTTGAATAACCAACAAACCCTCTAAACATGTCGCAATTTTAGGTGCCTATGGAAGAGCAACAGTGAGGTTATGTTGTTCATTTGATAAGAGGCACGCATGAAAAGTTTTGTTGCCAGAGGAACATGAAGGAATCAACTGGAGGATTTGAAGAAGACTCTAGCTTTTTCTTTATGACTCGATCTCTCAAGTCTTTTAAAGTGCTTTTGGAAAAAAAATACGTTGCTATTTTTAGGTGTGGTGATGATATCTCTGGTTAAATCTCAAATTGCCATTCTGTATTTTCACACCTCCTCTTTTTTTTGCCTTTATAATAAATAGCCACATACATTGTTCATGTTCTTAGTATCTTTCACAATAATCCAAGTTGGTATGTAATCTGGTGCTCATGAAACCACTAAACTAGTCAAATGGTAGATAGAACACCTAACTGTGTCTATGAAATTTTAAAGTTATGATTCAAAACATACTAATCTTTCATTTGGGAAGTGTACGGTCATAACATACACTTGGTAAACAAAAATTCTGAAAAAAGTTATAAGCAATCCATTATTGAAAACTGTTTAAACTGCCAATGTTATTATATATGATAATATGAGCCTTGTTCTGAACAAATTATATATAGCACTCAAAATGGTATATATGATACAGATGTCTACAACTGCAATTAATTTAAGCATCTCAGAGAACCAAACTTCAAATTTTTTTGGAGGCCATTAGAATTCAACAAAGTGACTATCAATGATCTTGAGCTGCTCCAACTCCTCTCCATCAGCAATTCCATTATCAACGTACAACATCTGTATGAATAAATTATCATAATCTTTTCCAATCACACACAACAAATTACAAACCAGTCCACTAATGATTATTTATACCTAATAACAAAGAAATGATAGATATTCAGAATTCGAAGCTGAGACCTGATACTCGGGACATTTCAGTGTGTGAGCTCCTCGTTTGAGATATCCCTCCCACCCTCTCTTCTCTACAAGCGCTTTCTCTATAGCTTTAGTAAACTGCATTCACGTTCAAGTCTCACCATCATTAATCACATTCATTAATCACTGTCAATTTCAGTAAAAGCTAATGTTCATATGCTGAAATGTGCACATAGACATGTCGTCAGTGCGATTCCTATTCATGAAAAACCAGTAGACTCACATCAGCCGGGTCCAAAATCAGGAGATTGTACTGAGTAGTAAATGTCGTTCCTTGCAACCGTCTTTGAATCCCAACAATTGTTCTCGAGTGCCCTTCATGTTGGAAATACAAGGGCCTGCAGTACACCCGATTACAACAGCTCAGGAACCATATGTAATGTCTTTAGAAGTTATAAAAAACATTTTGCCGAGATTAAGAACTGAAATAGAACCACCTACGCTTTGCTCGTCATATGAACACCGGAGGAAACGTTTAACCTGTTTTCCGAGAAGTAATTCCAAACCCAATCCATTAAAACCACTCCTTTGCTGATCCTAGAAGAACTAGAACCATGAGAGTCAACTGGTTTTTTCGCCCCATTTTCGACCTTTTTAGTCACGTATCTGTCCATGGGACCACGCGGCTTTATCTTGGGAGCAATAGCAGAACCAGGAACTGAAAGATACAATGATTCTGATTTCTTGGGAGCAAAATCAACAATTCTGGCTTTTAACCCGAAAGAGCGTAACAACGCAGCACATTCAGTGGTTCCAATCCATCTCTTGGAACCGCAGATTTGACTATCGAAATGCTGAGCTCCAGAAACATCAAAACCCTTGCTCCAAGCGATCTCTAACCAACGCTGGAGCGAGGGAATGTCGGGAACAAAGTTAGAGCCACCAAAGAGAACTCTTTTAACTTCCTCTTCTCTATGAGTAAGCAAATGAGAGCATTGCATTTGAATGTTCTTCCATCCGCATCCCCAACCTTTATCCTCCTTTGAGGAATGAAAATGATCAACATAGCCTGATAGTAAACTAATACTGCACTCTAAAGGTTTCGATTTCGATTTCAATTCGTATTCCAGACAAGTTTTCAGCAAACAAATCAAACCACCATTTCCAACACTGTAAAATTGGCTTTTGGTCTGTAAACGCACCAAGGTCGCAACTTTGTTGTGCAAACCCAAGGAATCGTCGAAGTTCTACATAAGAAATGCAAAAGCTTTGTCAATTTTGAGGCTTTCTCTGTACTCGGACCTAAACGTAGGAGCAAAAGAAGATTTTAAGGGTCGAAGAAAGCTTTTACAGAGGAAGACGGAGAAGGATCAGAAGAAGAGGCGAGTTGCAGAGCTAAGTGATGATCGCTTGCGATTTGTGGATTGATTTCATCTTCGTCGAAATGGGCATTCACATGACTGAATCATATCGCCGACATAAACCAGACCCATCAATACAAGATGGTCGGAGCATATAAAACAAGAGAGAAGAAATTAGGGGTTTGTGTTACCTTTCGATTTGAGAGAGAGGAAGCGTGAGATTGCAGACGGGACACGAAGTTTCTGACATTTTCTAATAGCAGAAGAAAGGAAGAAGCTTTTCTTCTGTTTTGTATCCTCGCCGGTGGTGATATCCTCTCCGGCTCCGATCAAGCCCTGCGTTTAGATAATTGGAGTGCGTCATTGTCATTAATTGATAATCAAATCAATTTCTCTTTATGGAATTAGATGGCTAAAAAAGAAAAAAATTAAATTGTTATTGATTTGGTCTTTACTGATTTGATTTGAAAGACAAAAATGTGGCGGTTATCCGTTTTAAATCAAAGCAAAAGCAAATAGTAAAATTTAATATTCGTCTAAACCGAAATAAATCACAAATACTAAATTTAAAAATTCAAATATATGATTTGATCCGTATATTACTTATATATACATATAATATGGTAGATTTATAACATATATTTATATTTTTTACTTTTAAATATATTTGGCGAATATATTTATAGTAAAATAGGTAGATAATGATTTTTGTTGAAATTTATTTGTTAAATATAACTATATATTTTATTTTTCACCGTTTTAATTTTTCACTTTTCATTTTTTTTTAATTCTATCGAATAAAATTAGACCCATTACATATATTTATTTATTAATTAGTTTAAATCTTATATTAAAACTTTAGTTTTGAAAAAGAGATTACGGTGTTTTAATTTTTTTTTTGTTTAAAACAAATATCCGTGAAGATCCGGATATCCGAAATTTTCTGAAGCAAAGCAACTCGGAAAATTAGATATCCGTAAAAAACAAATCGAATCACGAATACTGCATTTTTCGGATATCCGATCCGCGCCCAGACCTAAACTCGAAAAGGGTTACTTGACTACAACACTAATTCGATTGAAACGGTAGGAGCTAATCAGGCTTAACTAGTAGGTGTAGTAAAGGTTATAAGATCCGATTCGTGATCTAAGACGGTACAGATTCTTAATTGTTAAAGGTAGTGTAAGCAATTATAAAAAGAGCTTAAAAACTAATAGAGTACAATCGTTATAAATAAAAACTTGAGTGTAACATTTTTGTCATCAATTTTATGATTCATAACTATGACACTACAAGAAAACATATCAATTTTTGACCAATTTTTTTGTGGTCAAAACTATTTTGACCATTTTCGACCAATTTTAGATACAATATTATCGACCAAATATTGAGGAGAACACTTCTATTGTATTTGTCCCACATCGCTAATATGGGAGGGATGAAACTTTGACTTTCACTATAAAATAACACTTACTCCATTGTGAAAAACGTAAATGGGCTTCATGACCCAAATAGTTGAATTTTGAAATATTTTAATCGATGATTGAGTATATATTTTGAAATTATTATAAATCAAATATTTTAAATTTGAATTTTTTAATCGATGATCGAATATATATTTTTTAAAAAT